TATGACCTGGATGTCGGTCCCTAACCCCGTCGTAAGTCGGGGAGCAGCTGTATATATACTGTACTGTTTCTCACTTTTATTTATTTTATTTCTTTATGGTTCTTTATTATTATTAGTGTTATTATTATTATTATGAGTATTGTTATTATCATTATTATTTGTATTATTTTATTGTTATTTTTAATTGTGTTTTTTATTATAAATTTTATTTAATCTGAATTATTATTATTATTATTATTATTTTTATTATTATTATTATTATTATTATTATTATTATTATTATTATCATCATTATTATTATTATTATTATTATTATTATTATTATTTTTACATTTTCGCCCTCGAGGCCCCAATGTGGGTCAGTGACCCATGCCTGAGTGAACTAATCCCTGTAAAAAAAAAAAAAAAAAAATAATATATATATATATATATATATATATATATATATATATATATATATATATATATATATATATATATATATATATATATATATATATATATATATATATATATATATATATATATATATATATATATATATATATATATATATATATATATATATATATATATGGTACCTCGTGTTTCATACCAGCTGGATTCGGTAAAATGCTACTGACACCACATACGAGGCACGGGCATTTCCCAATGAGGTTCACGGCACCATCAGCTCGATGAACAGGCTTTGTGTGAAATATAACTGAGTCTAGGACTGCTTTTAGTGTCCTTGTGGGTTGGTCGGTAGCATTCCCTAGTCCCACCCAGTAGGTCGAGGTTTCGATTCCTGTCTGGTGAGGTCGTTGATTATATATATATATATATATATATATATATATATATATATATATATATATATATATATATATATATATATATATATATATATATATATATATATATATATATATATATATATATATATATATATATATATATATGTATATACAGTATATATATATACACAGGTATAAATACAGTATTGTATATATATATACTACTGTACTGTATATGCATCAGTCCACAGTGACCAACTGTAACTCTGCTCACATTGCATCCCTATCAGTTACTGTATTATTCCCTCCGACACAGTCTTGTCAGAATAGTAATTTCTACTTTGTTCTGTTCAATAAAACTTTATCTTACAGAACCGTTGTTATGGGAAATTTTTTAAAAGTGTGTTATTGTATATGAGTCATTAGTTGCTTGGTAATATTTTCTCAGTACAGTACAGTACTTCAAAATTGCCCAACAGTTAGTTAGCACTTGCTGGTGTGTTATTCGATCTGGATGTGAGTAAGGCGCATGGACCGGACAGAATATCCCCTCGTGTTCTGAGGGTGTGTGTTGCAGCTCTGGCCCCTGTGCTTGCTCGCCTCTTTTGCCTTTGCCTCAAAACCCAAACTTTTCCTTCTTCTTGGAAGCATGTCTTGGTTCAGCCCATCCCGAAGAAGGGTGACCATTCTAATCCCTCTAACTATCGCCCCAACTTCATCCCTCTCTAAGATTTTCGAAACTATCTTGAACTCCCATTTCTCTCCGTCACCTTGAGCGCCATTCTCTTTTGTCGGATCATCAGTATGGCTTTCGCCAGGCAAGATCTACTGGTGATCTGCTCTCCTATTGCACCCATCTTTGGTCATCCTCTCTTAGGGATTATGGGGAAACTTTCGTCGTGGCTCTCGACATCTCCAAAGCATTTGACAGGGTATGGCACAAGACTTTGCTTTCTAAACTTCCCTCTTATGGTTTCTCTCCCCACTTTGTTCTCTGAATTCTAGCTCTTTGAGAACCGATCCATGGCAGTTGTTGTCGAGGGATCGATCTCTCGCTCTTTCTCTAACAGTAGTGGTGTCCCACAGGGTTCTGTTCTTTCACCTACTCTCTTCCTTCTTTTTATCAATCATTTACTTTGCACTATGACCAATTCTATCCATTCTTACGCTGATGATTCTACTCATCACTCTTCTTCACATTTTCCCTTCCTCCTAATTCTCAAACTAGATCTGCTTCTAGAACTGATATCATTACATCTATCAATGCGGATCTGTGCAGCATCTCCGAATGGGGAGGTAGAAACTTGGTTAAATTCAATAGTAATAAAACACAGTACTGTATTTACCAATTACTCATTCCAAAATGGAAGATCTCCCACCAAACACATTTCAGGATGCAATCATTTTGCCAAATTCTTAAAGAGATATGCTAGGCCTCACCATTTCTTTTAATATGTCATGGCAGCCACACATCCTCAACATTGCTAAAACTGCCTCCCAAAAGCTGGGAATGCTGTGCAGATGCCGTAACTACTTCACTCCTGAGCAGTTGCTTCAAGTATACAGTCTCTCCTCGACTTACGACGGGGTTCCGTCCAGACGACCAGGTCGTAAGTCGAATTGGTAGTAAGTCAAAAAGGCGAAAATAATACATAGAAATTCTAAAATGGTTGTCTCTTTTTCTTCCCAGCACCATGAGAACTCTAACTTTTATGCTTGTCAGCCATTTTAAAGGGAATTACAAACAAAAATTTTGTCAGTACACAGCGCGATCACTAATGCCGGGACTCAAAAATACGTAATGTGAAAAATATTTTATTCAACCATGGTCGTCGTATGTCCGGGTTGTCATAATTCAAATATGTCGTAAGTTGAGGAGAGACTGTATAAGGGATTCATTCGTCCTAACTTGGAGTACTGCTCTCATATCTGGGGTGGCTCTTCTTCTGTCCAACTGTTAGATTTGGTGGAATCAAAGGCATTTCGTCTCATTAACTCTCCTCCTTTAGTTGATAATCTCTCTTTCATTTCTCTTCGCTGCAATGTTGCTTCACTCTCTCTCTTTTACAGGTACTTTAACGGGCAATGTTTGGTGGATTTGGCATCCGCCGGCAAGGCCGTGGGCTCGTAACACACGTCTTGCCCGCGGTGCCCACCGTTTCTGTGTGGATGTCGGTCACACTATAATAACCCGTTATAGTACATCCTTCTTTCCTCACACAGCCAAACTGTGGAATGCTCTGCCTTCTTCTGTGTTTTCATACTTATACAATCTGTCTCACTTCAAAAAGCTGGTTTTGCGGTGGTGTAGATTAAAATACAGAAACCTTTTTTTCTCTATAGTTTTTATTATTACAGTACATATTATTTTTCACTCATATTTTTTTGCCCCCCAGGCCCCATTGTGGGTCGATGACCTGTGCCTGGATGGACTGTTGTTTGATATATTAATATTTCTGTATCACATAACAAGTTACTTGGAACTTATTTAGTAAATTTGTGTCAGTTAATTTCAAGATCTGTGATTTTTTTTTTTTTTTTATTACCAACATCAGCAATAGTAATTTATGGACTTGTAGTGGTGTTATATCCTGTAAAAAGATTATGGGGTTGTGTCTGCCTTGACAGATGTATGTCCAGAACTGTACTGTATTGTACTACTGTACAGTACAGCATATTGTATTCATAAGTCAGCAAGTCTTCTATACTTTGTTGCTAGCATTCGCTTTTCTGCTTCCATTGCAATTGACCTGAAACATTAAATTCAAATGTTTAGTTGTATAGTTGTGCTGGTGTATGTGTGGAGGGGGGGGGGGTGTTAGTGCACTGTACAGTATACTCTCGCACTTTGTAAAAACTACCACTTGTCACTTCATCTTCTTTTGTTATGATTTTATTATATAAGAGAAATGCTTTTCCCAGGATTTACACATTTTCTTATTAAAATATAGTAGATTGTAAACCAATAGATGGTGAATGGTACTTAAAGTACTGTACAGTACAAACTGTTCCTGTATCTATTATGGTCTAGTTATATTTTATTTGTTATGTGCCTGTGCTAGTTAAAGATGACACATTTATATTTATTAACAGTACAGTACTGTGTTAGGTATTACAGTATACAATAAGTTAAAATAGAGTTATGGACAAAGAGGCATGTAAGAAAAGTGTGAATTGATGTGCTTAGAATTTTACAATGGTTATTATTACAGAGCCAAATAATAATAATTAGGAGACAATGGATAACTTGCCTAGCATCTCTGAGGTGAGGGAAACGATCTACGATGGTCTCTCCTCCAGTGAGGAGACTCTTGACCCAGACAGTGCCGAGGAGAGTAATTCTACATTGCCAGAAATCAGATCTGAATCTCCTCTCCATTATGCCGACTGTGAGGACACGGGACAGTGTGAAAACTGTGGTAAAGGCAGTCATCACTCACAGACTGGGGATGAGGATTGTACATCAATAAACAGTAGTTGTCTTAGTGATGATATACCTGCAAATATAGAAGAGTTGTCTGAGGGTCACAGAGGTTTGCTTTTGGATCATTTTGTAACCATCCGTCGTGATCCAAATATGCGAGGACAGTCTTTTAGGAAGGACAAGCGACTAAGTATGATCATGGCTGCTGGTTTAGATCCTGGCAAACCTCCAGCAGTCACTAGTCGGTCCATGGAACATCTGGCGGTGAGTTGCAGTGTTACTGGATAACAAAACTATCGGTAATTGATCAATGTGATTTCTAGTAGGTAAAAAAAATTGTACAATATATAAACAGGTGTATATATATATATATATATATATATATATATATATATATATATATATATATATATATATATATATATATATATATATATATATATATATATATATATATATATATATATATATATATATATATATATATATTAATATATATTTATTAATTATAGGATGATGGTAAGTCATTGCTATGAAATATTAAATGTTTGATTAATGGAAAGTTCTGAAATTGTTTACTATTGAGGTTAGTTAGATACAGTAGGTTGTGTCTTTATCTGCCAACCATAAAATATAAAAAAGTGTTTAATACCTGTATACTTTACTGAGTCTTATTTTGTGTAAGTTTATGGCTTTACTTTTTATTTTGTAATGATAATGTAGTTGTAAATTAATATACAGTGTACAGTAATATGAAAATTATCTGTGCAAAGATTTACACCCACAATTTTTATTTCTAGGTTGATGGAGGCGTTGAGAAGAAGTGGACTCGGAGCAACTCACTTCGCCGCCCCTTTCACAGCTCAAGACACAACACTGGCCACCAACAGGACCCTTCAGCTCACTCTGATACTGAAATTGGGAAGGTGTGTTGTCTTCACTTTAAAAACTGTGTTAATGATAGACCATGTATCGTCTTTATTGTACAGATCACCTGTTAGAGTACAGTACAGTACTGTACCAGTGTTGGGTCTATAATGGTAAACCAATTGCTTATTAGTGTCTCATCATTTGCTCAAAGGTTGAAGGACATGGTGTGGATGATGTTTTGAAGTGTGAGGAACAGCTGTGATATTTTGTTTCATATTAAAGGATAAATTTTCTGCTCCACTGAGGAAAGATTTAAATATTGTCTTGTTATACTTTATACGAAATGTTACCATACTATACACAGGTATTATGATACAGTCCATCACTTATTCACTGTGTATAACTTGTTGTTGCCCCCAAAACACACAGATATCAGCACCACACAGCCTCTTAGACGGTGATAGTGGGTCAGTAGGAGGCAGTGTGTCCTCAGAGCGTGCTATTGACGTTGGGAGGGTAGGTGCTTGGGCAACTTCTTTCGAGAAGCTTTTAGAAGATCCAGCAGGACTACACACCTTTGCTGTGAGTTATGATGAGTTTCTTGTCTTGATGTATAATTGCTTAATAATTGTGGACTTATTTCAGTGCATTATGGGATGTTGGAAGGAATTATCTCTAAAATAATATTGCATTTGACTTTTAAATGTCATAGTTTCTTTCTTTGTAGTCCCTTTTGCTTTTTTAATTTCTTGTTTGTATCACAACAGGAATTTTTGAAAAAAGAATACAGTCATGAAAACATATACTTCTGGACGGCTTGTGAGCGATACAAGCGGGTCTCCAACCCCGATGAACTCCGAGCCATGGCAAAGGAGATCTTTGAGAGACACCTGTATAGTGGCGCCCCTGAACCTGTCAATGTTGACTCTCAGGCAAGACAGGATGCAGGAGAGGGCCTTCATTCTCCAAATCAATTTTTATTTGACCAGGTGATAAAGCTACGTATTGGATTTTAGCATTCTTTTGAAAAGCTCCTTCCTATACAGCATAGTAATGGAAGTATATTTGGAGACAAATACTGCAGTACTATACAGTAATATACAGGTACATCACCTATTATCCGGCAACTGATGGTCCGGCACCTCCTTTAGTCCGGACAAAATTATGAGAGGGCACTTAACTTCCCTCCCAGCCTGGGGTGAAGGTAGTTTTAGGATTAAAGTTTTTATCTTATAAAATGTAGCTGACTAGACTTAGTAGAATATAACTTGCATTGCTGGAATCCTTGTAAGATAGTGATTAATTTGAGTATAAACATCTCACAGTTTGCACAAGAGATAAATTTTTTAGTCCTTTAGTGTTGTACATTTGAGTACAAAGTGTGTACAGTAATGTTGCTCAAAATTATGGCTTTTTCACATTTATTTTACATTTAATATTTGTTTAATTTAAGTTTCTAGCAGTCCATGGTGCTTTAGAGACACGAGAGGTGTATAATTAGTGGGTCAGAGGTGTACAGTATTGTTGAATTATTATTACTTGACCTCAATTGGTCTGGCAAAACGGATAATCCGGCAAGGCTTTGGAACCAAGAGTGCCGGAAAATTGGCAGTGGACCGTAATGAAAAATATTGAAACAAAAAGGAAAAGGAAAATTTTAGCTCTATCCTGATACATTAAAAATAAATGAAGACTGAATAGCATTAAATGATTCTTTTCTTGTTATGTTGAAGCCTTTGATCAATGAAACTATCATCAGCTTCTGGAGCAGAGACATCAAACACATTATGCTGTAACATACAAACTACTGTATCTTCTTAATATATGTATCACTTAGACGTGTAATTATTTCTTATAGCAGATGATACTGACCAGTATTGATGAAAGGTGTTAAGCATTTAGAATTACTTAGTTCACTTTAAACAGCAAAATATGGTCTGATGATTAACTGGGTTAATATGAATTACAGCAGATCACAGAAACAAACTCAAAGCAGACACCTTAAATGATTCTCACATAGTTTTTTGTAATTGCCAAGGTCAAATAGATGTAATCAAAGAAAAAATGTGTGTGTGTCTGTATCTTTGTTGTTGAATCCTTGACAGATGGACTGAGGTACTGAAGTGTTATTGACTGGAAAGAAGTTTAAAGTATCCATTCATTAGCACTAAGAGGTCAACAAACTATAAGGCGTACACCCACTAAAACATTATTGGGCACCCGTGTCAGATTGTATCGCGCCGTAAGGGTGCCCAATAATTTTTTAGTGGGTGTACAACTGTATTATACGGTACTATTATGTTCGCTACTGCTCACTCATCTATACGATGAAAAGTACCAAAATGTATTGGCATCAGAACAACAAATGAGCTCTTCTCCCATCACAATAAAAAATAGGCATTGTAGTGCTACAACCTTGGAATTTCTCCACTGACATTTATCACTTTCTGTCGTGTGTGCTTGACTGTCATAATATTGAAGGTTATACAGAATTAATAATGTTGGAGTCTGCTGTATAGGACTAGTGACATACACATTAGCTGTCATCACAGTTCTTAACTAATAATGTAGAAAATACTGAAGTTAATGTGAACGCTTTTGTATCCTTTTTAACATAAGTCACCAACCCTGTATAATTTTCATCCAGTACTGTGTTATGCTATCTTTAGTGGCAGTCATTATGGCATACTGTACTGTACAGGTAAATTGTGCAACAATGTGTTTTATTTATAAGATAGATCATCAAACTGTCAACTTTAGAGGTATCTGTATGTTATTAATGACTGCAAAAGTGACTCCAATTTTTTTTACTGTGGTGATTGGCCTAATGCAGTTGGGTACAGTTGACAATCATGGTATATTTTGATCATTACAGGATAGTACTGTATTTACTACAGTATTGTATTTTGAAGTTGTATCTTTGACAGTAGAATGTTTTGTTATATATCACACTAAAGAGAGACAGTATCGCAAGGAACAATTGAATTAAATATAAATTATTTTTCATTAAATGAAAAAATATGAACTAGATACTGCACATTACCACACTGTTCAAAATACTGTACTGTACAGTACAGTGTATACTATAGTACAGTACTGTGCAGTATGCACTGTTGTACTGTACAGTATAGTATAGTACAGTACTGTGCAGTATACACTGTTGTACTGTGCTGTACAGTACAGTACAGTACAATACAGTACTGCACTGTACTGTACTGTACAGTATTTTAAAAATTTCAAATGTCTTATGATCCTTTCATCAAGGCTTCTAAGCCTAAATATCTTATGATTCTTTTTTAACTAAATTAAATTTTTTTCTTGCAGGCCCAGAAGCAGATTTTCAATCTTATGAAGTTTGACAGTTACTCTAGGTTCTTGAAGTCAAGTCTATACAATGATTGTGTATCTCGGGACATGAGAGGCCAAACTCTTCCTTACCCTGGTGATGAGACTCTTGATCCTGACCTTAGGATAGCACAAGAAGACTCCCATGTTAAGGTATTACAGTATACTCTACAGCAATTAAATTTCTAAGACACAGATAAAGGATATTTTAATAGTACAGTATTGGAACTGTTTATGAATAACAATACTGTTCTATATTGTGAAGGCTGTCATTCATACTGCTGTAATAGATGTGTTATATTCTGGTCTTCCTCATCTACAATGCCCCAAATATCTCTTCTGTTGTACATATATTCTTTAATCCTAAAACACTGGAAACTGTTTTAGTCTTCCTTGAAAGGGTCAGTTGGCTGATTGACTCATTTATTTAATTAATTTTCTTTGCAGTTAAAGAAAAGTAGATCAGATGCAGACGAACGTCGTCGAAAATCATTATTGCCATGGAACCGTAAAGACCGTAGCAAGAGTAAAGACAGAGGAGAAGCCGAGTACAGGCGCAGGAAGAAACACAACCAACGTAATACCTCAGATTCATCCAGCATCCGTTCGGATATCAGTGGAAGTCGTACCTCTCTCAATTCCTCTGACCTGCCCCTAGGCAGAAGAGCATTGTCAAAAGAAGTGAGTTTTTAAAGAAACGAGGGAGGACATTCAGTACAATCTCAAAATCTGAGGCAGTGGGATCAGCACTGTTAGATAATAGTAGTAATAAAAATAAACCCCAAATGATTAGGTTTGGGCTTGATCACACCATAAATTAACACTGCAATTAGACTTAAGAGTAAGAATGGTTCAGACTATGACATAACATTTTAGTGAAGACTTGATGATAATTAAGTTCAAAATAAATATACAAAACACTAATAGTACCAGAGCAGCAAACAAGTTCACATGTGGCTTCCATGTACAGGCACTGTACCTACAGTAAACATTAGTCAGCTTAAAGCCCACTTCAGTACTGAATTTCCAGCCCAAAGCCTCACAGAGATAATGGAGCCAAATATTAAGTAATGGATGCTAATTTGTCTAATTTTCTACTTTATATTACAGTACATTATTTATGAGTTGTTATCCACATGTGAAAATACTGTGCAGTACAGTACTGCATGTCCAAAAAGATCACCTGAGTAGAAGATATTATAATGATGTTAAAGGTGAATTTTTCACATTTTTATAAACAGGTACTTAAGCCTTAATATATACAGTACTGTACAGTATATCGTAAAATATGAAGACTTTTCTCAGTTGGTAATTTGACTCTCCAACATGCCCTTAAAATTCGCGGGGGTTTGGTCTCAAAATGGCTGCGAATAGCCAAAACCGTAAATCTAATTTGCTGATGGGAGGGGGCACAGCACATCTTTACTCGTGTGCAAAGAAATATACAGTACAGTGGTGGTTACTAGTGTTCCCTGAAGAATGCAGTGATGGGTAGGGAAACACTGTGTAACACTGAAGTCCGTTTATTATGGATGAGAGAAATACAAGTGGTGACTCGCGTGTGCCATGCACGGCTCACACAGTCAGATTGAGGCTGCCATGCCATATGGCAGCCTCGGGGCAATGTTGCCACATAACGTGCAGTGTTGCCACGTGATGATATATATAAATGCTACTCGGCACAGTAGCTTATATACATAACCTACACACAGTAAAGCCTCCGATAACAACGGTTCGAGCAACAATTTTTCATACTTAAAACCCTAGTTAATTTAGGACCCAGTTCAATTTACGTCCTTATTTCATTCGTATTTACGACCAAAATATAATAAAAATAAAATAAAATTACATTTTCCTATAAATAATAACTAAATCCCGATATGTATTATAAAAACAAAAATTACTGTAAAAAAAATGAAGAGCGCCTTGCACAAAGAAGCTGACTGGCTAATGAATGGTAAACAACAGTCGGAGCTTGGCGGGCCTTTTGTTTTCACACATCTGGAACAGGAGAAAAACTTTCACAAGTTTCTTACAGCATTTTTGCATCCCTATTCAACATGAGCAAGAGAGCAAGTGATGATAGTGTTGGTTCAAAAGCTAATAGAAAGTGTTTAAGCTTAACCGAGAAACTAGATGTGTTAAAACGATATGAAAAAGGTGAGAGGTGTGTGGATATTATATGGAGCAAGCAATGAACATATTTTCTGAAGTGGATCCATTAACAGAACAAAGCATTAAAATTTAAATAAACACAAATGACCTCTACATAAGGATGTATAATAAGAAAAGAAAGCAGCTGTGCAAGGTTCTTTAGACAGCTTTATTATTTGAAGGCCTAAACCATCAACTTCAGCTACACCATCAAATTCAGCATCATAAGCAGCTTCAACATCAACTTCAGGTTCAGTAACAGTTTCAGCAACAGCTTTATGGAAAGCTACAGCTTCAGCCAGAGTTGAACCTGATGACTTCGTCACCTGAGTTAAAACTTACACAATATTCATTGGCTGTCCTTATGTTTTAGACTTTACCACCATTGGTGAGTAGATATTTTGTTTTACATTCGTAAATATTATTTAAAACATATATGAACAATAAATAAGTGTTGCTTTCATATTCATATGTAGAGAAATGACGACATGTTTTAACATGTACGCACTTACTGTTCATACGTTGGCGTTCCCAATCGTCTCGCTTTATTTCTTTACCATTAGTGGTTAGCTACTTCTGGTGTTCCATTTATTAACATTAAATAACATTACTTAAAACATACATACAGTTATTAATTTTTTAAACTAAGTTCACTACAGCTGCAACCAGGGTCTTATTTTCTTCAGTTTCTTATGTAGAACCATCGTCACTCACAAAAATGATGCCGTCTTGGCTCCTCTTGTGTGTTTTAATATTCTACATATTATTAATGAATTGCATTGTTCATTTCACATATATAAACATTAATTCAATCAAATACATATTCAGTAATAAACAATAATGAATCTTTTGTACATATTCTTAAGATAAATGACTGTTTCCTTGAGTGCGCACGTACTGTATACATTGGCGTTCCACCATCAATTTCACTTTTTCTTTAACATCAGTGGTTACTTCTACTGTACATTAAATAACATTAATTAAAACATCCTGGTACATATTTTTTACATTAATTTTACTACAACAACAACCAGGGTCTTATTTTCTTCAGTTTCAGGAGGATAACTGACATTATGGGTGTAAACACTGACAACAATGCCGTCTCTTATCCTCTTGTGTGTTTTAATATTTTACATATTATTAATGAATTGCATTGTTCATTTTACATATATAAAGATTAATTCAATCAAGTACATATTCAGTCATAAACAATAATGAATCTTTTGTCCATATTCTTAAAAAGATAAATGACGCGGTATCCTTAACTGTGCACATATATGTTGGCGCTACCAATCCATCTCTATTTCTTTTCTTTACCATTAGTGGTTAGCTACTTCCATTGTTCCATTTATTAACATTAAATGTTACTTAAAACATATATATATTAATTTTTTTACATTTATTTTACTACAGTTACAACCAGGGTCTTATTTACTTTATTTTCTCGTGTAGAACTATCGTCCCGGACTCCCGGCTGTAAACACAAACGAAAACAATGGCGTCCCATCTCCTCTTGTGTGACCATATTATTATTCATTTATATTGTATAAAGTGCGTTCAGAACCATTATTTAAAGAACATAGTTTGCAATTTTCATTAATTGTATTGTTTTGGGGGGGGGGGAGAGGAGGGTAAAAAGCCACACAAAAGATATGAAAAGGTCACACTTGGGAACACATCTCATTATTATTGCTTTATTTTAATGGTAATTAGTGATTCGCTATAAGACGATTCACCTTACACTGCAGTATTGGAGGACACATTAAACGTCGTTATTGGAGGCTTTACTCTATATTCTTCCCTTTTTGTGTTGCCCTTAGGACAATTTTCTTTTACCTGTTGATATGTAGATCAGACTTACGAAATTTTTTTGGTAGCCATCTAGCCAACCCAAAATGAAGGATGTCGGTAATTGTGGTGTAGTACTTTACAGTGGTCCTTCGGTTAACGAACACAATTCGTTCCAGAAGGTCGTTCGTTAACCGAAAATTTTGTTAACCAAAACAATTGTTTCAATGGGATTTTGGGTAATTGGTTCCAGCTCACCGAAAATTACATACAAACTAAAAATAAATGCAGTAAAGTGCACTTACTTTGAGGTGTGCATGTAGAAGGCTCCTGGTTGATGAAGATGATGATGATGATGGGAATTAGAATGGGGGTGAAGGAGAAGGGAGAAGAGAAGGCATTGGGGTGGAAGAGAAGTCACCCCATGCCGCCATTTCACCCATAAAATTTTAGTTCACTTGGTGTAATTCAAGATTATTTTCTTTATATCAACACTGCACTGCACTATATATTGTCAATATGTAAAATAAATTTCAAAATGACCAATAATTGTACTGTAAAAATGTAAAAATAGTTTATGTTCAAGAGAGTCTCAAGCAACATGCTTCCTCCACTGACCAGAGACACAAACTGACGCCATTCTGGGTGAGTCAAGTGGCTGTTTGGCGCCCTAAAAACTAGTTCCCTGTACTTCAATTATGCTAAATAATTGTTAAAATGACTAAAAACTTTAATATAAGACTTGGAAAATTATTGAATAGTACAACCTTCTTGATATTTACTCAAATGGTAACGAATGTAAGCCCTAAAACTGATTACTGTATTTGCTGGTGAGCAGGCGAAAATATGTTGGGAAAAAATCGTAAGGATTTCGTTAACCGGAAATTTTTCGTAAACCGAAGTGAAGAATCTTTTGGAAGGTAATTCGTTAACCGAAATTTCGTTAACCGAGGGATCACTGTATACTTTTTTCAAAATATGTATGTAGGATGGTGTGTGCATGTAACTGAGCAAAAATAAATGAATATTTACGTATATCTACCCAAAAATACGAGTTGAAAATACCATAACACCTCACAGCTTGGCCCAGTAGCCTGGTGGTTACAGTGATGAGCTAACCTGGCTACAATGCCATGATTAATCACTATTATACACTATTCTATTAGTAAACACTAATAATAACAGTAAATTCAATGAAATATAGCAGGAAGTGAGGAGAGTTACAACTGCAAATGATGCACTAACTAGCAGTCACTCACACCCCTTACCCACTGCAGTTGCCAGGTGTACGTATGGGAGAAATACACGACCTTGTTTTCTCTCCTCACTTGTTTGGGCATCTTCCCGTGGCTGTATGAAGGTGGAGGGCGTTTGGGGGCCATCACAAGCACGACGACCACAGATGTTAAGAGAGCAGAGTAACACACATGCGAAATGGACAAGTGTTTACGGTAATAACGGACTGTCACTGAGGTGGAGTGAGCGCACGCGGCCCAGTCACAAGAGAGACACCTTACGGGATGCCATAAAACTCCCCGTCTCGACTGTGAAAATGCTGCCAACTTTAAAACTACCCGCAGACATTCTTGGGTACATCCAGGGTGTCATCTGTGAATAATAGAGGACTGCGAATTATAAGGGCTTGCTGTATTACTATTACAAGGGGTCGAGGAGTTTGGAATGGGCTATAGACCTGACACCAGGCAGTACTGTACTTGGTTGGCTGGAGTTGCACAATACATACAGACTTGAGATACCAGATTTACTGTACTGTATTTTGAAAACCGCATAGAATATAAAATTCCTCACCATATGGAAATGTAGTATCACCTGTTACTGACGTATCATAGCTTCATATTAATTTACATACAATAGCATAGTTTTGTTAATGGCAGTGTGACCCAGTGCCACAACTATAGGCCAGCCACTTGTTTATTGGATAATATGAGCAAGTAATATAACCTTTGCTAATTGTTGATGTTAATGTAAAATTAAGGGACTAAGTAAATTAAATAAAATTAATTTCATAGGTACAGGACTTTTGTTAGGGGTGAACTTTAATGAAGCTTCTCTGTTAGTTAGGTAAGAAGAAATTATTGTTTCATCGTCATTAGTTTTAGTCGTGTCCTACGTAAGAAAATCCTTTATTGATTCGACTATTTATTCCATGAACAGTCACTCACCAGTGGTGACTTTGGGAGCTTCAGCGGGAGTGAATGTTACAGCAGATGTCGTGTAATCCTGCCTGACCTGAGCAACTCTGTGGTGGCGGTCCGAAACGATGAATCTATACAGGTGTTGCTGACTAGATTACTAGAGCGCCGAGGACTCTCTTATTCTACTTTTGATGTTTACCAGCACAAGACAGACAAGGTATTAGTTCAATTAACACAGATAGTAAAATGGTTAACCTCATAGAAGATTAGTAATGTACTACTGTACTGTACTGTACTGTGATTTATTAAATTTTCAATACATGTTTATACACAGCTCATGTTATTTAGAGGGATACAGAGGATTACTAACTCTTTTTATTCTGTTGTCTCTATTAGCTCATGGATAAAAGTGAAGACAGTTCAATGCTTGGTGGCATGGAAGTGCGACTGGAGCAGAGAATTATATTTCGTTTAGATTTACCCAACC